TCACTTAAGTAATGGAGTTGAGTACTTTGTCCGCCTCTGATAAGTGCATAATGTATAGTGTGTCATTTAGGACGCAGCACTAGTGTCCACCTTTTACGTTTGTTTATCTCTCTCCTGTTCTCTGTGCTCACATTAATATAGCCAATGTCTCAATAAAAAGGTTTTCATTTATATATTTCTATGTTACACTTTATATTAAGTGGACAGTTCCTGAGGAGTTACCATGTAAGTACACTGGTATTACAGTGGTGCACCAACTCCACCAACTCGAGATCCAACTCCTCCCACTTTACATATCCCTAAACCTACCCATCTCCAACCTCTGGATCAAATGGTTCCAATTACTCTTATACATTATTGTTGTTACAAAATGTAGATATATAATTCCTGTTACACGAGTACTTAGTGAAGTGGAAAAAAAGTGTTGTTACCAATGTCCTGTTACACATTTGTACTTACACAAACCATTCAGTGGGTTATTACATATGTGTAGTTACAGAAATATTACAGCTTTAGATACTATGTACCAATATGTACTTACACTGTGGTTACATTCTACGTGCACATCTAGTTACTATGTAAGTACACAGGTATTAGGGCCACTTAATATAAACTTAAAATATAGTCTGCATGCACAATAAACATAATACATTTCAAGTTTTTCCATGTTTTAATAGAAATGTAGGCCTATTTAATAAATCTACTAATAAGCATATTTCCAGTACGCATTGTTTATTATTAAAGGGGTCATATGATGTTGCTAAAAAGAACATTATTTTGTGTATTTGGTGTAATGAAATGTGTTTATGCGGTTTAAGGTTAAAAAAACACATTATTTTCTACATACTGTTCATTATTGTTTCTCCTCTATGCCCCGCCTTTCTGAAATGCGTTGATTCTTACAAAGCTCATCGGTCTGAAAAGTGAGATGTGCTCTGATTGGCCAGCTATCCAGTGCGTTATGATTGGCCGAATACCTCAGGCATGTGACGGAAATGTTACGCCCCTTACCATATTGTGATGCTGTGTCCCGGAGCGACGAGACAAAAACATTAAAACCCATTACAAACAAGGCATTTGTTGCATCCAGTGGGGACATAATTACGGATTATAATGACTTATACTGCCTTTTTTTATGTGTTGCGTTGCATCGTGCCATGTAAACATAAAACCATGTCTGTATTTGTGATCTGAGAAATGACAAACAACAAGCGCTACTCTACACTGCTCAAAACTCGCATTTGAATCATCAGTGGCAAAACTTTTAAATATGAAAACGTACTTACAGTCTGTGAGTCATAACAGCCGGCATTGTAGTCGACTCTACCAGGATCAGGAAACAGTCCTCCATAAAATGCGCTATGTGCATATGAATATTTGGTTTGAACTGTTCTGGAACAGTGTTGTAAATACAACTTAACCACTGATCTAGTCGTGTCCTCTTTTGGAAGGCCAAACAAAGTATTTTCGCTTTTGCAACGAAACACACAGCGTCTTCACAACATGGCGGCGGCGGCAGCAACAATAAAGTTTTTCCTTCTTTCTTTGCTTGAACATTTGGGCAGCGTTATGCAGATCTTCCCACATTGTGACATAGACATGTGGGAGCGTTTTGATCGAGGTGTTTTAGGAGGGCATGGACCAGTCTTAACTTTAATAAAGAATATCTTTTTGGGTTTGAGACTTTAGTCTTTGCAACTTTAGGGATCTTATCTATTCACGAACAGCTTGTAACACTCCAAAGAGAAAGGAAAACTTGAAATCGCATCATATGAGCCCTTTAAAGGGAAGTCGTGGCCTAATGGTTAGAGAGTCGGACTCATAACCCAAAAGGTTGTGGGTTCGAGTCTCGTACCGGCAGGGATTGCAGGTGGGGGGAGTGAATGTACAGCACTCTCTCCCACCTTCAATACCATGGCAAGGTGCCCTTGAGCAAGGCGCCGAACCCCCAACTGCTCCCCGGGCGCCGCAGCATAAATGGCTGCCCACTGCTCCGGGTGTGTGTTCACGGTTTGTGTGTGTTCACTGCTGTGTGTGTGCACTTTGGATGGGTAAATGCAGAGCACTAATTCCGAGTATGGGTCACCATACTTGGCCACATGTCACATGTCACTCATGTCACTGTCACTTAAAGAAACTTCAAGGCTCGTTCAAGTCCTCGGTGATAGTACACATGTGCATAATGTCAGCAACTCACTCGTTAGAATCCTCGGCAAACTTCAACAGTTTGTTGAACTGACTCATTCGGTTCTTTCATTCATTCGATCGGTTACCTCTCTGAGAACCGGCTCTAAAGAACGATTTGTTTAAGAATCAAACATCATTAGTGTGCAGCGAGAAAACAAAACCTCACGCACGTGCTGCAATACTGGCGAGACTAGGTTTGTCCAAGAAGTTGCTAGATTTGTCGCTGGGCGCTTTTTTGGAAAAAAAAGTCGCTAAGTTGGCAACACTGTGCATTCCGCTCACAGTATATCATGGAACATGCCAACTATTCAAACTATGTGGAGGAAACCTGAACTAAACCATGTACTATGTGTACATATATAATGTACTATATTGACTACTGTATGACAGCCTGGTATAGTAGCTGTACCAAAGCTGCCAAAAAAGCCCTGCAGCAGGTTGTAAAAACAGCATAGGACATTGTTGGTACTGACCTACCATCACTTGATCACCTTTATAAAACTCGCTGTTTGAGAAGGGCGGATAATAACATTAAAGGGGTCTTATTATGCTCTTTTACAAAGTCTTGATTTTGTTTTGGGGGTGTACTAGAACAGGCTCTCATACTAGGTTGTTCGAAACACACATAATTTTTCGCATATTTTACATTATTACAACACCTCTCTCCCCAGTCTGGCATGAACGGCTCAAATAGTTCCTGTATCGCCTTCTGAAATACGAAATGTGCTGTGATTGGTTAGCTGGGCCAGTGTGTGTTGTGATTGGCAGCACTCGGTGCCTGGTCTGGAAATGTCACGCCCCTTACAATAGCCGCCTGCGAGCTTCAGTGTAAATATTGCGTCAAAATCAAATCAATTTAAACCCGGATGATTGTAACCACTCTAAGTTCGTCTGCCTTGGGAAAGCTAGCGTGTCTCCGACATAGTGATAACACTCGTTGCCTTCTCTAGTGCAGCTCAACCAGGTCTCGTCCCATTCGTCGATTTTTGTGATATCACAAATCCCGGAAAATATGCATTGTAGTCCAAACGAGTCGTTCGTTTGTAGTTTATGAAAAGTGATTTCTGTTAAATGAAATATCTCCTTTTGAAGTGGACTTTGAACTTTGTAATTTTGCAGATATTTTTTATGCTCAAACAGCAATATTACAGACTAACTAAAGTTGAAAAAGTGAAAAAGCATAATAGGACCCCTTTAAGGACATCACTCACCCTAACCATAGCTTGTTTCAGCTCCTCCCATCTGGAAGGCGATTCCAATCTATCCGGGTACGCACAAATAGACTCAAAAACAGTTTTTTTCCAACATCAATAATTTTTATGAACTCTAGTATCTCCCTGTCTGATCATGTAAAATAAGCTATGTCGACAATGTTTGACTTACTGCTCAATAATAAGTTCAATTATAATGCTGCTATTATAGCAGTGTTGGCTACTCTTGTATTAACACTGTATCTGGCTTTTTGCCATATTCTGAGTAATTTTAAATATTTTATGATAATTGCATCTTTTTTTATATTTGATCATTATTGTATCGCTATGATTATTATCCAGTTATTTATTATTAGCTATTTAATTTTGTATTTATTAACTACTGCGTTTTTTTGTATATGTATTGTTAACTATTGTACTGTCTTATTTTAAATGCACCTTGTGGTTGTCACAAGAGAAATTTCATTTTGTTACACAATGACAATAAAGTACTTGACTTTACTTATACTACAAGCAGGGCGTCTCTGAAAATTAGTGTGTGTGAGTTTGTTTACAGAATGCTGTTGTCACTTCTGCAAACTCCCATACAAATAATTATTAGAAAAAGTGTAGACCCCTGGATTTCTGCCCGTTGAAGCTTGTGTGTTAATGCACCCCTGCCCATTGGGTCCTGATCAAGAGGTCAGCTTGATGTGTTTTACAATGTAAATGTCATTTTCAGTTAAGGTTTAATTTGGGGTAATGGATCAACCTCAGATTAGGCCCAAAGAAACTTATCAGAGAAACTTCACAGAGCCCTTGGATAAATGAGTATATTTGACATTCTGTGATGTGCACATTTTTTATGCTTATTGTAATGTCAAGATGAAATTTCAAAATGAACAAATTGTGCAGTGAACATTTTAATGCTTTTTGATAGATCAGTTAGAGATTTATTTAAGGATTTAAATACTTGAATGTTTTTTTTAATCCTTTGAATGACCAAACAATTGTTTATGCATCAGTAACCATATAGGACAAATAACAGGTTAGTTTATATCAAATAGGTTTATTGGGTCACAGAGAGTACTGGGGTAGGGTTCAGAGGATGTGATGGTGAGGGAATAGTTCGAAGGATATGAGGAGCGGGGTAATCCGGGTCTTTGGCTGTACAGGAGCTGGAATGCAGGCAAGATGGAGCACACACCTCAGCGATCCGGAAACTAGGAGGAACAGGAGAC